AGGGAAACATTTTCTACCACTCATTCAAATCACTATCTTGCCAGGGGCATGCTGACATCACTGTTTAGATGGCCCTGCAAACTACAATATCCCACCCCTCTCTCAAAATGCAAGCATTTTAAATAAATCAAAATTTGTAGGTAAGAGATATATTAGGTATTTACTGCATTACAGGATTGTTTTATTTTCACATACAGCCCTGTCAAAAATCTAATTCACACTCACCAACACAAGTTTGAAGGGACAGGCTAAAATGAAATCCATCATCACACTTTATGTCACACTCATATGCTCCAGCAGTGTTTCTGCATGTCTCCTCTTCAGGGTTACACCATGTAGTTCTTCAAGGCACTCATCCACGTCTGTTAAGAGGAAACTCAAGGCTTGGAGGTCAAGGGAAGCACAACAAAGAGAAGCCCCACTAAATAGGTAAAAGAAGCCACTTAAATGGAAAGAAATATTTCCATAAGACACAAGTCTCAACCTACAGACAATTCTGACCCTTACTTGCTCAAGAAGTATTTAAGATAATAAATACAGAAGTTCCATACAGCTTCCAAATAATTTACAAAACTTCATTTAACCTATGACTTATATTTATGGCATTATGACTCACAAAACTAAAGTAACACAATTGCAAACAAACTACTTTCCCATTTCTGTGCTTTTTTTATGGTATTAACCTTCATGCAGAGGCTTGGATTTTGTTTGATACTTCATCTAATAATAATTATCATACAAAACTTGAGCAAATAATGTTCATCTCTTCAAAATTAAGCTACAGACATGAAATTTGACATAAAAATATATACAAATTTTTCAAACTGGAATACTACTGTTCTTAGATCATTACAAATCTCAACCATTATTCACAAACAAGAACAAACAACCAATTTAACATATGTAATGCAGCACAGTACTACAAAATTATCCCAATATTACATTACACAATACATTCAATTACACATACAATCAATTACCCATACATTACTTACATTTTGCATAAGGTCCTCAGGAATGCTCTGCTTTTATTATAGAATTTAATTAATAGTAACTATGGAAAAATTAGTTAATTTAAGGAACATTTTGTCACTTCTATTATAATGTTTCTGCAGCACATACCTGAAACCAATTTGGAGATCATATCATAGATTCTTTCTCTTCAGTCACTTCATTACAAAATATACAATAATCAGAAAATTCACAGGATGCATTGCATTTCAGGCACAACTTAGTCTAGTTTTCAAGAACTACATAGTTTGGTTAATTATTTTATTTTTTAAGGGTCTTACACATGGTATTAGTAGGAAGTTACAAAAAGATACAGGATACAACATAAAAAAAAAATGTAATTGTATACTAAAATATAGTTATCTGAAGCTACAGTATTTCTGCAAACATGGATGTAAAACGCTAAGTACAATGATTATTGTATGAATAATTTTTGGTAGAAGAGCTGTGCCTGAATGAATGGAAGTGAAATATATGATACTCTCATTTTACTCTCAAGGCAATATCTGATGAGAAACTTCTTTGTTTAGTGTCTGATCAATCAGGCTCTTGCTGCCAGTGATACAATAGCTATACTGCATATTAAAACACAGGTTCAGCAATACAGCCAAAACCTGAAGAAAGGATACACACTGCAGTACAAGCTTTAAGTGTGAATATGTTTCAATGTGCTGTATTTTGTCAAGTCTAATGTTTTGCTGTGTTGAGCTTCATCAAGTCTACACAGAGCAAAACATTGTCCCACTAAGAGAGTTCACCACTAAGAGAGTTCTCTCTCTCTCTCCTTCATTATTATCAACAGAATGCCATTTAAAAGCAACCAAGACTTGGTTGATAAAATACCCAATATTATTAAAGGTAAACATACCTATGCATGTCTGCTGTTGACTACTATACTTGTAACCAGCTATACAATCAGTTGGACCTCCTTTCTGCTGACATGTAAATGCTCCATTGGTGTTGATACAGAAATGGGTCGTCTGGTTGCAATTGTTGGAGCCATCCAAGCACTCATCGATATCTAATTGGTAAACATGATATTTTATTAGGCCTACTGTAGGTGTTAATGGATATGGGGATCATCAGACCTGTTGTCTGGTCACAGACCAGACTTCATGGTAGTCTTATCTTTTTTCTTAGCACATGAGATACATATTTTACACTTTTAAAAGCATTAAACAGTTATAGTAACATTTATAATATGTATATATTTTTTTAGGAAGATTCTTAGTCTGACAGTGATTTTCAGATCATTAAGTTGCAGCTACAGTTAGAGTAACAGGTAGATGGGACAAAAGGAAAATGCAAACAAGAGGTAAGACAAAGGTGAAAGTGTATAAACTAAGGGAGGAATAAGTTTGGGTGAGATATAAGCAACTAATGGCAGAAAGGTGGGCTAGTGCAAGTATGAGTTGTGGGGGGGGGGGGGTTGAAGAGCGTATGGAATAGTTTTAAATATACAGTATTAGAATGTGGGGAAGAAGTTTATGGCTATAGAAGGGTGGGTGCAGGAGGAAAGAGGAGTGATTGGTGGAATGAAGTAAAGGGTGTGATAAAAGAGAAAAAGGTAGCTTATGAGAGGTTTTTACAAAGCAGAAGTGTTATAAGAGGAGCAGAGTACATATATGGAAAGTAAAAGAAAGGTGAAGAGAGTGGTGAGAGTGTGTAAAAGGAGAGCAGATGATAGGGTGGGAGAGGCACTGTCAAGAAATTTTAATGAAAATAAGAAAAAATTTTGGAGTGAGATAAACAAGTTAAGAAAACCTAGGGAACGAATGGATTTCTCAGTTAAAAACAGAGTAGGGGAGCTAGTAGAGGGGAGATGGAGGTATTGGGTAGATGGCAGGAATATTTTGAGGAACTTTTAAACGTTGACGAAGAACAGGAGGTGGTAATTACATGCACTGGCCAGGGAGGTATACCATCTTTTAGGAGTGAAGAAGAGCAGGAAGTGAGTGTGTGGGAGGTGCATGAGGCATTATGTAGAATGAAAGGGGGTAAAGCAGCTGGAACTGACGGGATCATGAAAGAAATGTTAAAAGCAGGGGGTTGTGTAGTGTTGGAGTGGTTGGTATTTTTGTTGAATAAATGTATGAAAGAGGTGAAGGTACCTAGGGATTGGCAGAGAGCATGTATATTCCTTTATATAAAGGAAGGGGAACAAAAGAGACTAAAAATTATAGAGGAATAAGTTTACTGAGTATACCAGGAAAAAGTGTATGGTAGAGTTATTATTGCTAGAATTAGAGGAAAGAAAGAATGTAGGATTGCGGATGAGCAAGGAGGTTTTAGAGTGGGTAGGGGATGTGTAGATCAAGTGTTTACATTGAAGCATATATGTGAACAGTATTTAGATAAAGGTAAGGAAGTTTTCATTGCATTTATGGATTTAGAAAAGGCATATGATAGAGTGGATAGGGGAGCAGTGTGGCAGATGCTGCAAGTATATGGAATAGGTGGTAAGTTACTAAATGCTGTAAAGAGATTTTATGACGATAGTGAGGCTCAGGTTAGGGTGTGTAGAAGAGAGGGAGAATACTTCCCGGTAAAAGTAGGTCTTAGACAGGGATGTGTAATGTCACCATGGTTGTTTAATATATTTATAGATGGGGCTGTAAAAGAAGTAAATGCTAGGGTGTTGGGGAGAGGGGTGGGATTAAATTATGGGGAACCAAATACAAAATGGGAATTGACACAGTTACTTTTTGTTGATGATACTGTGCTTATGGGAGATTCTAAAGAAAAGTTGCAAAGGTTAGTGGACGAGTTTGGGAGAGTGTGTAAAGGTAGAAAGTTGAAAGTGAACAAAGAAGAGAGTAAGGTGATGAGGGTATCAAATAATTTAGATAAATAAAAAATTGGATATCAAATTGGAGAGGTGGGGTATGGAAGAAGTGAATGTTTTCAGATATTTGGGAGTTGACGTGTCAGCAGATGGATTTATGAAGGATGATGTTAATCAGAGAATTGATGGAGGAAAAAAGGCGAGTGGTGCATTGAGGTATATGTGGAGACAAAAACATTATCTATGGAGGCAAAGAAGGGAATGTATGAAAATATAGTAGTACTAACACTCTTATATGGGTGTGAAGCTTGGTTGTAAATGCTACAGTGAGGCGGTGAAGATGCCCTGTCTAAGGCAATGTTGGTGTAAATATTATGCAGAGAATTCAGAGTGTGGAAAGGTGTGGAGTTAATAAAAGCATTAGCCAGAGGGTTTGAAGAGGGTTGTTGAGAGAATGAATCAAAGTAGAATGACATGGAGAGCATGTAAATCTGTAGAGAAGGAAGGCGGGGTAGGGGTCGTCCTCAAAAAGGTTAGAGGGAGGGGGTAAAGGAGGTTTTGTGGGTGAGGGGCTAGGACTTCCAGCAAGCATGTGTGAGAGTGTTAGATAGGAGTGAATGGAGACGAATGATATTTGGGACCTGACGAGCTGTTGGAGTGTGAGCAGGGTAATATTTAGTGAAGGGATTCAGGGAAACCGGTTATTTTTATATAGCCGGACTTTAGTACTGGAAATGGGAAGTACAATGCCTGCATTTTAAAGGAGGGGTTTGGGATATTGGCAGTTTGGAGGGATATGTTGTATATCTTTATATGTATATGCTTCTAAACTGTTGTATTCTGAGCACCTCTGCAAAAACAGTGATTATGTGTGAGGTGAAAGTATTGAATGATGATGAAACTATTTTCTTTTTGGGGATTTTCTTTCTTTTTTGGGTCACCCTGCCTCGGTGGGAGACGGCCAACTTGTTAACCCTTTAAGGGTTTCCAAAGTACTAGTACAGCTTATGCACCAGGGTTTTTGACGTACTAGTGCGCCTAAATTCTAGCACCCTCAAATCTAGAGAGAGAAAGCTGGTAGGCCTACATATGAAAGAATGGTTCATGGTCAGTGTGCGCAGTATAAAAAAAAATCCTGCAGCACACAGTGCGTAATGAGAAAAAGAAAACTTTGACAGTGTTATTGGTTTAAAGCAGTATGGTATTTATGATGGTATTCTAGTTTTCCTGGTCTCATTTTATAGAATGGAAGACATATTACAGAAATTGAGACAATTTTGATTGGTTTTACAATGAAAAGTACTTTGAAACCAAGCTCAAAGTAGCAGAAATCTTTGATTTTTGCCAAAGTTTAAAAGTAAACAAATCATGCTACACGTCTAATATTCTTTCACAAGTGCGCTGATATTATTTATATCATTTCTACACTAATGCAGTAGTGTGCATAACAGTAAATCTTCTATTTTTTGTGAGAATAAAAATTTATAACAGTAAATCTTCTATTTTTTGTGAGAATAAAAATTCAAAGTGGAAAGCAAAAAAATGTAAGAGGGGCATGGGGACGTGGCTAATGAACAGAGGAAATGTTATTTTAGTGCCAGGAATGTCTTTCTTGTTTATTCTGGACCCTATTTGGAAATTGGCATCTTTTGAAATTTGTGCGAAATTGACAAAATTGCTAAATTTTGACCACTTTATTGGATAGTTGAAATCGGTAAATGGGTGGTTTCTTGTACTCATTCGATAGAAAAAATGGAGTTCTAGCGAAATAGTTATGATTTTTGTCGACTAGTACACTGGAATTGGCTGAAAATAGGGCTCAAAGTGGGCAAAATCGCCAATGCGTAAACATCGTTGAGACTGCTAACTTCGCGAGAGCATAATTCCATAAGTTTTCCATCAAATTTCATACTTCTGGTGTCATTATGACCGGGAAAAGATTCTCTACCTTTTCCTAAGAAAAAAATTTTTTTTTTTTTTTTTTGAAAATTTGGTGACCCTGAGAACAAGTCTCTGAGAGGGCCTGTCGACACTGAAGGGGTTAAAAAAAAATACGTATACATTTTTAACACGTCGGCCATTTCCTACCGAGGCAGGGTGACCCAAAATGAAAGAAAAACCTAAAAAAGAAAGAAAAAAAACTTTTAGCATTCAACACTTCCACCATCACTCATACATAATCACTGTCTTTGCAGAGGCACTCAGCTACAACTGCTTAATATCCAAACTGTCAATATCCCAAACCCCCTCCTTTAAAGTGCAGGCATTGTACTTCCCATTTCCAGGACTCAAGTCCAGCTAACCGGTTTCCCTGAATACCTTCATAAAATATTACCCTGCTCACACTCCAACAACTCCAACACGCTCATGCATGCTTTCTGGAAGTCCAAGCTCCTCGCCCACAAAACCTTCTTTTCCCCCTCCTTCAAACGTTTTCTGGGACAACCTTTACCCTGCCTCCTTTCCCCTACAGATTTATACACTCTCCATATCATTCTACTTTGATTCATTCTCTCCAAATGACCAAACCACCTTTTATTAACTCCACACTTCCTCTTAATTTCCACACTATGAATTCCCTGCATAATATTTACACCATACATTGCCCTTAGACATGATATCTCCACTACCTCCAGCTGCCTCCTCACTGCATTATTTACAACCCATGCTTCACACTCATATAAGAGTGCTGGTACCACCATACTCTCGTACATTCCCTTCTTTGCCTTGACTGATAACATTCTTTGTTTCCAGATACCTCAACACACCACTCACCTTTTTTTCTTCATCAATTCTATGGTTAACCTTTTTTTTTTTTTTTTTTTTTTCAACAAGTCGGTCGTCTCCCACCGAGGCAGGGTGACCCAAAAAAGAAAGAAAATCCCCAAAAAGAAAATACTTTCATCATCATTCAACACTTTCACCACACTCACACATTATCACTGCTTTTGCAGAGGTGCTCAGAATACAACAGTTTAGAAGCATATACGTATAAAGATACACAACATATCCCTCCAAACTGCCAATATCCCAAACCACTCCTTTAAAGTGCAGGCATTGTACTTCCCATTTCCAGGACTCAAGTCCAACTATATAAAAATAACCGGTTTCCTGAATCCCTTCACTAAATATTACCCTGCTCACACTCCAACAGATCGTCAGGTCCCAAGTATCATTCGTCTCCATTCACTCCTATCTAACACGCTCATGCACGCTTGCTGGAAGTCCAAGCCCCT